TTTTGGGCTTTTTTTTGTTTATTTTATTTTTTTTTCCTCCCAACCCTTGACATCAGCCTTGTTTTTGTAGCAGATAGGAAACAAATCTTCTGTTGTGTTTGTAAACAGAGGATCTAATCTGTTCCCTACCACCTATATTCTACTCCAGAAGCTGTCTGGTCACCAGAGTCTTCAGAAGCAGATATTTGTCAACCTTGTTCTCAAGTCTTCCATCAGAAGTTTCCTCTTGTCATCATTGTCACCCGACACTAAGGGAACAATCATCCCATGAGCAAAAACTATGTGCATGTGAAAGAGAATAGCTGGGAATGCCTGGCAGTGTAAAACAACTTAAAAAAAAAAAAATTGAAACACTAAGCCAGTATGTGTCCTGCAGAAACCGGCCAATCCTAAGCACACTACAATGGCCAAGCCATAATAATTGTCAGCTGCACTATCTTCCTTGCATGGGAATAAAAATGGTAGGAAATATGCCATGGAGCATGGCTCTATGTATTTGTATAGCTGAAAACTTGGTAGAGGCCGCAACGATGCAAAGAATGTGAATATTATCAGGCCGTTTTATGAAGAGACAAACTGAGGGCAGAGGTTTATGACTTGTTAAAAGTAACACATGGCGGAGCAAGAAGCTCTGAGCTCTACTCCTGCTTTACAAGCCTGTAAAGAGTACAGTAGTGCATAGCTCTTGGTACATGATTCAGATATATTACACTATTACACTATATTCCATTCTTTTTTTAGTGTATTACTACTCTGATTGCTCGCTAGTAATTGGGGTAAGCTTTACTGGACTGATTTTTTGCTCTGGAGCTACAGGTGATCAACTACTAATACTAACGCACGGCTTTCTGTATGAACTGATACTGCATGAGGCTGAACATATGGGAAATTGTAATACTGCCTCTGAGTCTAACACACTCTTCCCTTGGTGTATTATTTCAACCTCCTCATGCTGTTCCTTCACAGCAGGAGGCTGCCATGCAGCAGAATTGCTATGGATAACACATGTATATACACTCACAGGGGTCACTCACCATTGTAAATTGTTTATAGGATATACGACACTGTATTCATAAAGGGGAGAATGAAATGTGTTTGAATTTATACGTTTTTTTTCTCCAGGGATGTACAAAACTCTTTCCATATTTCCGATGGACTAAAAATTCTTTCCCACCTACTTACTCTCACAAATACTGCACACAGGATGTGTTTTGAATCTGCAGAGATATTTTAAGTAAGTGAGAATTAAATTTGGCCAGGATAATCTTATTAAGGTATTGATCTTGGCCCTACTTATGATTGCTCTTCAGCAAAACCCTCCTGTGTTACAGACGCTGCTTTTGCTGTGTATGGGAGTAAGCATTGGTGTTAAAGGAAGAGTCAAACCATGGTTTCTTGGGTTTGCCTGGGAAACATTTCTTTCATGTTAAGCCTCATGCAAAAGTGAAAGAAGGTGAAAGGGTTTATATTATAATTAAAAAAAAAAAAAAAAAAAAGAAGTTACTGTTACTCATTGAGGGACCAGCAGAGAAGGCAGGAATTCCTTACCACACAGATTCCAGATCCATCGAGGCATCTGTTTGCATTACCATTACAGTTGCAAGGAGAGCATTTTCCTGACCTGGTATGGTAAAATCCTTCTTGGCATTCCTAACCTGCAATGAAAAAATAAAAATAAAGTATTTCTTAAGCATATGTATTTGGAGAGTTAGATTTGGCTGAGAGGCAGGGGAAAGCAAGAAATACAACCATCAGGTCTCCCCAGAGCACACTGCACAACCCCATCATAGCAGACCACACACATGCTGCTGAACTCGGGTCTGTTCTTTTACTATCTGCCCGTGGTTCTTGGTTTTTTTTGCCTTACAGTATTTAAGCTGCCAGAAGTAGGTGCCTGCCTGCAGGTGAGGAGCTCGTAGATTCTTACTGCATTTTGTACTAGAGGATGAGTTAACTAGCAATGATGATCCTTATTCAGTAAAGAAGGTGCATTTATAGGAAAGGAATAGCTTTTACCTAAAAAATAAAAGCTTTAGAAAGTTTACTTTACATCAAAGCTTTGATGAGCTCTGGATGAAGAGCCTAGAGGAGACAGAAACATATCTGCAAGACCAATGCCCTTCTGCATGAAAGCTGTCTGGCTGCTGTAAGAGGCTACCAAAGCAGGGTTGTCTGTCTGTCTGTGAGGCTGGTGAGATGTGCCAGCAACAACCTGTTGTCATTCCAGAAGGTAATATGTCCCTTAGAGATACAACAGTTCTTCGATCATTCTTCATGTGACATAATAAATGGGGGGAGATTGCAGAAAGGTAAAATTTTCTTGTTATTTCTTACATGTGTGGCTGTGTCTGGTGTATATAATTTAGTACTTTTGATAATTTACCAAAGCTTACAAAAATTAAACAGAAGATTGTAAATATCTAAATCACCTTATTTTGTACACTGATTAGAACAATAATATAAGGAATCAGAAACACAAACAAAGGTATTAAGATACGCCTCTAAGAAATAAAAATAAAAGTTAAAATAAAATGAAAAAGAATAGCTTTCATTTGATATGATATGTGTAAATTCTTGTTTTTCAGTGAGGAACTTCTACCTCACTATGCAAAGCTGGAGAGACATGTGCAGGTTGACCTCAGGAGCAACCTCTGTTACTCAGGCAGCACCTGTTCACCCTGTACAGTCTTCCTGTCTCACATGTATTACATTAGATCCATGCAGACTCATGAATTTTTGGTCCTAAATCTCTTACCTTTGCCTAACTCCTGCAATGTTGTTGCAGAGCTGATATGAAGGCCCTAGCATGTCATTTAGATCTCCAGAAATTATTTCACACACCCTGTTTCTGCTAGCATTTACAAAGACTATCCCTGAGGTGGCTGTCAGAGCCTGAGATATGCCAGACTCTCCTGGAATATTTTTTGTGGCTGCCTCTACAGCACTTTATGTATTCTGTGGCTCCTGAGGTCACTTTGAAAAAGTGGGGAAAGTGGGATGTTTAAGCAAACCAGTAAGTTATGATCTTACATAACTCACATTTGTATGAGGTATGAGGCTTCTTATTATATTGTACTGATCTAGTTAGGATTACATTTTCTTTGTATCTCCCTTTTCCTCATTTTCCTGGATTTTCCTGAAATAAAAGATGGTTTCTTTTCTGCACTGGTCTAACCATTTTTTCTCATGCCCGCAGTAAACTATGACATGAACAGCAGGTCTGCAAAACGGAATGCAGCACCATGCAGTGATACCTCCACTAGCTGCAAAAACTATCCTGAGTAATATTGCCAACTAACCCTGCTGGTGGCTGTGGCTAATTAACCCTGGCACAATGCTGTGGCCATACTGCTTCTGGGACCTGAACCTGTACATCTGCATGGTGCTGTAGATATAGCTGTGAGGTCCCAAGATTCATGTCAATGTTATCTTCCCTTCTCAAGGGTGGGTAGATGACTTCTATCCAGCCAGATAAGCTGCTTGTTTAGAAAATAATGTATCTTACGAGATGACTAACAAAAAGCTTTAAAAATGAATCATTAATCCAATCTTATCCTGGGGAGCTCTGAGAAGCTGAGATGAACATAAATGGAAACTCAGTTGCCTTTACCATTCTTACACACAATGTTTTGTCTGGATTGCTTTGGAAACACTTTCTTAGATAATAGCTCCTAGGAGGAAAAGCCTTCATACCACAGCCACTTTGGGACAGCAGAAATACTATCTATTTGTACTGCTGTTTCAGTTGTTTAGTCTTAATACAGAGCTGTAGGACTGGCTCCCACCAGACTAAGGATTTCAGCTGAATGATTACACCACACATTGTGGAAGGGAGACAGTTAGTTTCTAAATTGAAAACAGATTTTTATTTCAGTGTCGGTCTTGGCAATGTTTCTCTCCAGCCATGCAGATCTAAGGCATGTTATATTCTCTGATGCCCCTCAACTGGTGGGTGGTCCTAGCTGGTCCATTAGGGTCTGCCCAAAAGCTTTCTTGCTTTTGCAGGTCTAAGCAAAATAATTTTTTTCCTACAATGGTGAATATGGACAATGTAAATTCATGAATGTGTGTAAAGGTGTCTATGCAAATCCTTCAGTCAGCCATAAAGATCATCTCCTTTGTACGTCAACTACTTTGTACTTCAACTAAGGGTTACTTCAACGATTGGGCTTTCTTCCAGTCTACTCACTTAGCAGGAACTAGTTACGTGCAGTTTGGTGCAGCATCACTGGTTCCAGCTGTATGGGCAGTCTTTACTGAAGTCTACTAGCAACCAGTTTACCCTCTATTCTGAGAAAACAAACTTCTCAGATCCTCAGGACATCTGCCTCAGTTTTGGGTGCCTCTGCTACTGCTGTCAGAGCCCCTCTTGAAAGTGAGATACAGGGTCCTAAGTCAGCTGGGTATTTTTTGGCAACATTTTTTTACCATGTTATTCAATTCATCACAAAAACTTGGAAGGTGCTGGTGTTCACTATTTTAATATAGTATTTTCAACCATGAGTTGCATCAATTTAAACTGGAAATGAGGTATTGACAATCAGTGTTATGAGGGAAATGAGAATGAGGGAAAATGGGATCCAGATTGTTTCCTTTAGGTTCAGAAGTTTTCTCAGGCATTTTCAATTAATCTGATATATTTTTGTTGCTCCTTGCCCTACTAGTGATAATGGAGTGATTGGTTGGTTTTTCCAGGGCTTGAGCCAACATCATATTTATAAAAAGAAGTGTCAGAGTGTTGAGATAATTGAGGGATTCAAATGGCAGAATGTTCTGGGAGCACAAAATAATTGCACACAAAGCACAAACAGGTCTGGAACAAAATGGAAATACCCTCCCTGAAAAATCACTATATAGGCAATTGAGTGAGGAACATTTCCGTCCTGTTTCTGAATGGTGAAGACAATTAGTAGGCCAAAGTGCTAGGCCTGCATTAGCAATTATGTCTTCACAATTATTAGATTTCTTTTTTGCCCAAGGGACAATGTTTGTTCCAGTTCAAGCTGAAAAGTCCAATCTAATGTGGATCTTGCTGAGCTCTTGAAAATGTTTTACACCCATGGTGCATTTATTCCCCCACCCTGCCTTGCCTATGGATTTATTTATTACATTTTTTAAAAACAAGAACCAGCTGCACTGCTGAAAGCATTGTGGAGCCTGTAGTCATATTCTGTTTCTTCAGACTCGTTTGCTGGTACAAGATGGGACTGAAGATGGAAGATGGTCCACATACGCAGGGTATGAGTTTACTGACATATTATAGTATTATAATCAAATGGTTCCACCGGTTTCATTGCAGCTGCTCCTGATCTGTGCCTGCACAACTGAGAGCAGAAGCAGGTTCCCATTCCTTCCCTGCTGCCAGCTAGCAGTGTTGCAGCCACACTGGGGTAGGTATGTTTTCTGGTTTTGGCTGGGATAGAGCTAATTTTCTTCTTAGTAGCTAAAATAGCACTGGTTTTTAGACTTAGTATGGGATTTAGTATGAGAAGAATGTTGGCAATATTGTGATGTTTTCAGTCGTTGCTAAGAAAATCAAGGACTTTCGGACTTCCCATGTTTTGCTAGTCTGCAGGTGTAGAAGAAGCTGAGGGGAGCATAGTAAGAGCAATGAATCCAAATCTGCCCGTGGGATATTCCACGTCATATAACATCATGTTCAGTATTTAAACGAGGGTTGTCGGGAATGCCCTCTCTCTCTTCAATGATTGTGGTTTCAGGTTTTTCTCTTCTCCAGGATTGCTAGCCAGGAACGGTCTAGGCATTGGTTGGTGGGTGGTGAGCAACTGCACTGTGCTTCACTCATTTGTATATTCTGTTATTACTATCATTATTATTATCATTATTGTTTCAATTTTATTTTATTTCATTTCACTTATTAAATTGTTTTTACCTCAACCTATGAGTCTCCCTACCTTTAACCATCCAATTCTCCCCTGGGGTGGGGGAGAGTGAGCGAGTGGCTGAGTGGTGTTTGGCTGCTGACCGAGTTAAACCGTGACAGTATGTTTACTGTGACCTTGCCTCTTCTGACTTGCTTTTCCTGAAAGAAGAGTGTTGGGCTGGTAACATGCACAGAATGTTCTCTGTGGTTACATCTGCATCAACCAGCTGAAGAAGGGCAAGGCATGGTTTCAGGCACTGGCTTATGATCGTCCATACTGACTGATGGTTCATTTTCTGCCTTGATTTTACCCTCTGACAGATTGTGATTTTCCCAACAATGTCCAAGCACAGCTCAGAGCATGGTATCTGTTAGGACGTGTTCCCACAAGACAGTGTGTATGGGACTGCTCTTTTCTGGGCAAACACAGAGAGAGCTTCAGCATGTGGACACGGGCTGTGTTATGCTACTTGGGTAAGAGGTCCCCACACTGCTTTATTTGATAATTCAGATGTAACCATTGACTCTCTCATCTAATGGTAAGAAAACATGGCATGTTTCTTTAGTTAGTACTGGAACTTGTGACTGTTCTGTGACGATATAAAAGCACAAAGTGTCTCTTTCTTCCACAATAAAAGGCTCCCTTGGATCCACACCAGTGTTTGTTATTTCCAGAGTTTTCTCTTGAGTGCTGGGATACATGAAAGTATGTGGATTCAGGGTTAAACAGTCTACATTAAGACTTTTTATCTTTTGTTATATTCTG